CGCTCCTGGCCGTCACGAGGTCTGGGGTTCGATCCTGGCCCCTCCACTTTCCGATACGAGTTGTCCGTGGTCAAGGTGAGCGTCTGTCCTGGTTCACATGACCCCCAGGTCACGTGGCACGAGAAAACTGTGACAGGAGGGAGAGATCGATGTCAAGAAAAGGTGAAGAATGCGAAACAGGAGTGGGATAACACTCACTGAGAACTTAAGGAGTGATCAAAATGAGGAAAAGGGGGGGAACAAGACAATGCAAATGTGCAGATGTTGGTAAGCGTACTGAAGGGCTCCTCCTCGCGTCAAACACCCTGTTGCGTCCAGAGCTCCTCGCCCTTGCCCTCATGCTCTACTCCTTGAGTCCAGGGACAAATGGGAAATGTGGAATGATTGGGGGTGGTGAGCACAACAACAATAACGGGGGGACAGTGGAGCGAGATCTGGTTTAGAGGATTGTCAAAGTCTGCGGGCTTGGCAAACAATGACATGAGGGTGGCTTGCCTAAAGGGCACGCGTGCTAGTGCATTAGCACAAGGTAATGTATCACATAGGTCTTAGAGACATGTTAGAGACAAGCTTGAGAGACACGTCAACGTCACCAGCGTAAGAACATGCACGTCCGATCCAGTCACCGTAAGGTCAATTAGAGACACAGATTGAGCGCCTAAAATGGTCCGCCCAATCTGAATCGAGGCTTCCCAACCTCAACCGCTCTTACACGAATTTCGCTGATGTAAAACAACTGAACCCATGTAGGTTCTCACTGGGCATGAGCATTTAGTATGGGCCGTTGTTGTTTCCCCGGATAGCAAGTGGATCGTGAGTGGGTCATGGGATAACACCATCATCGTCTGGGACTGTGACTCCGAGTCGGATGGACGGCTATGCGATGAATGGATGGCTCACTACAGCAAGCTCAATTCTCTTGCATTTTCCCTGGACAGCTGATTCCTCGCTTCTGCCGGCAGCGACAGGAAGGTGGTCGTCTAGGATCTGAACCAAGATGCACGTCGAGTCGCAACACTCGAAGGGCATTCGGACAAAGTCCTGAGTTGCGCCTGGTCTCCTGACGGTACCATGATCGCATCCAGGGGTGTCGACAAGACAGTTCATCTCTGGGACACTAAGACATTCCAGCAGGCCCATCTCTGCGATTGCGGGCACGAGCGCAAAGTTCGGTTTGTTCAATTCTCTCCTGACGGACACTGGCTCGCTTCTGGAGGCGAGGATCACCACTGCTGTATATAGGATGTCGCGTCAGGCACACTGCACAAGATCTTCGGGGGGCTCACGCGCGAGCTCCGTGCCGCCGCGTTTGACCCGGGGAGCACACGCCTCGCCACCGCGTTCTGGGACGACACAGTGCGGATCTGGGATGTGGAGACGGCGGAGTCGATCTTTGTCTCACGGCAGCACACAAATTGGGTAGAGGAAGTGGAGTTCTCCCCGGACGGGAGCTTGTTGCTGTCTGCGTCGTGGGACAAAACAGTGAAGATCTGGGACACATCCACCGGTGTCATGATCATGTCACTGGACGGACACTCCAACTACATGAGTGCGGCGTTCTTCTCCCCATGTGGGAGGTACATCGCATCGGCGTCCATGGACAAGACAGTGCGGTTGTGGAGGACAAGTGATGCATCAGCAAAATGTCATGGTCTTGAATCTGAACTTGGGCCAAGACCACGGTCTTAGAGCCAAGACCATGGTCTTAGCCTCAAGTCTGCAGTCTTGGTGGTCTTGAGGTCAAGACCATGAACTTGGAGCCAAGACCGTGAACTTGGAACCAAGACCGTGAACTTGGAGCTAAGACCGTGAACTTGGGGCCAAGACCACAGACTTGGCTCTAAGACCGTGAACTTGGAGCCAAGACCATGGACTTGGCTCTAAGACCGCGGTCTTAGAGTGAAGACTATTGTCTTTAAGTGCTTAAGCAACTTAGAGTTAAGGGTCAACTCGTCTAAATCAATATAAGAGTATCTAGATCATATAAAGATATGGTCTAGTAATGATCTTATAAACTGCATAATTGTGTATATGTTCAAGATAAGAATGGTCATGAGACCTACTATAGTGTTCAATGCTTAAAGATCATGTTACTTCCATGATAGCACTACAATATTAGAATGACAACC